AGGTATTTTGATTTTAAAAATATCAAGGGTAGTCTGATGCCATATTTTAAAGCATGCAAAGAAATGAAATTTTGCTTCAAGAGTTTTAAACTTGATATCTAATGAGGTAGCCCAGCAGACAAGTGAGATATTGAGTTGTACAATTCAAGAGAAATTTCCTATCTACAAGCAACTGTGTATTATTTTGTTTATTACATAAACACAATAGCCCTCTACTGACAAGAAAACGAAACATATGACCTTGGATTCAGAATAGTGAACACTTTGCCATTCTTTTTATCAACAGGGTGACAAGCAAGACAAGCAACCTGTCAGCAACCAATTGGCAATAATAAACATACGTAAAAAAGTATCCTTCTTTTACATGTGTGTAGTTACAGCTTTTCTAGGGGCTGGAGATCCTTAAAAAATACCACAGTTTATTATAATGATAAAGCCTTATCAACAAGTGACTCTTGACAACATCAAATTCTCCTCAAATTGCCCAAGGAAAGACACGGCAAATTGAAAGAACAATTTTTAAGTCCATCCCCAGTAAGTCACTGGGGCATCTAATTCCACACACTCTTATTATTGTTTCCCAAACCTTTCAATAACTGCCTGTGTTGCCACCTTCCAGATAAATATCTCTCCATTGATACTGGCAGATGCAATGTAGTTACCACAGGGAGACCAAGACACCAGAGAGACCAACTAAAATGCCAGATAACATTTGAAATATTTACCCACTGAATTTATGTAACAATTAGGTAATTCAGAAATACTGTATTTCCTCAATATTAGCATTCACCAAAGTATCCCCCTGTATCAATACTGTCTTAAAATCATTTGGTGACACAATGAAAAGGTGACTTTTTCCCTGATGTTAGCATGATCCTCATCTTTCTGAGGAAAAATTTGGATATCTTATGAGGAGTTTAAATGTAAAAAAAATTAAGAGAGATTGTCTAGCAATACAAGTACATATACCTCACTGTGACCATCTTTTTCCAAGTTGAAAGTATTTTTCCATGTATCTCTTTCATAAACCTAAACATAGAATGCAGCCACTGATCAGTATTAACATTAACACTTTTGGCGAATGTTTAAGCAAAAGCTGACCCCCACCAACCAACTGACTGACTCACTCACTCACTTGCTCCCTGAATGGCTGACTGAGTGACTGATCATGACAGGTGGATGCACAGGTGATGTAATTAATTGACTGACTATGAGGTTGACTGAGTAGCCAGCTGACTGACTGAGCAACTGACTGACTAACTGACCGACTGATGGACAAACAGATGAACAGACTAACAGACTGACCAACTGATTGACTGACCAATTGACTGACCGGCCTACTGACCAACTAACTGACTGACTAACGGGCTTTCTGGTTAGCTGAATGTCACCCATGAACTAAGGCCATGAAAATAAATGAAACAATCATCAACTTTAGAAGCTCTTGATTGTTGGAACATATCTCCTTGTCTGCAGCTTAGGAAATGTATAGAGAACAGTATAGAGAATATATATTCTGATGTTAAGATGTAAAGGGATAATAGGTACCTTGACAGTTTTATCCACGGGAACAGCCATATACTAGAAAAAGATTCCAAAAAGAGAAGAGTAAACAGAAGGTAGATGAGTTTTTTTTTTCATCTTAGCATCACTTATTTCAATAAATATTAATTCCCATTAATATGAATCTAGACATCAATGATCAG